CACTTTTGTACCATTGCGGCGATCGCCCTGGGACTAGCGTCTGTCATGGTAATCGCGCTCCACTGTCGGCCGATCAAGCAAAACTACACAATACCTTTCGAGGATCCACGATACTGCTTCCGACTGAAGCCCTGCGTGGTCACCATAGCGGTGCTGGGAGTAGTCCTAGATGCGGTCATCTGGTGTCTTCCGCACTATGTGGTTTGGCATCTGAAGCTGCGCCATTCCCACAGGGTGGCTGTGTCGGTCATATTCGCATTTGGGTTGTTGTGCGATCAGGGACCATCCTCTCTCAGTCATGGCTAACGTGAGTAGCAACATGTTCATTGGTGCCTTTCGCGTCGACTCATTGGCCGATGTCGCATACCAAGGCGACGTAACGTACGGCATGGGCAACACTCTGATGTGGGCAATCGCCCAGATAAGTACTGGAATCATTGTAGCATGTCTGCCTCATCTACGTCCTTTGTTCGATTGCCTTCTGCCACGCCGGCTCATCCACCTCAGCACCCGCAAATCCAAGACTCAATCCAAAGCCTCTCAGGTCTCAGCTCAGTCTGTACTCGTTCCTCCGATCATACAAAGCAGAGCTGGCTCCATTGTTGTCACTACGCAGATCGCTGTTCAGCCCGGTTCGCCAAATCTGTTACCACCTCCACCACCGCCGATAGATATCGTGGATGGGCAGCTCGACCCTTTGGGCCCGATATTCCACGTTGAGCCAGGACCTGCGAAGCGCACGAGGGTAGTGTCATACGATTGTGGTGTGTCGCCGCGTGGCTGTGGCCTTCCTTACTGAGCTGAGGCTGATGTCGTGTTTTCCTACAGATGCGCACTGTTGCATACACTTCGCTTCCTCCCCGCATACCTAGTTTGGTACTTTGGGTGTTTGAAGCCCGACAATATGAGATAGCTATTCTTCAAGTGTTAGGACGTACGTGGACCATCCAGCCGCAGCCAGTTGAATGATTCGCTCGTCCCTCAAAGCTGTGACGCCTTCAAATCTCTTCTCAAAGTCCGCATCCGTTGCTAGACCCAACTGGCCCCTGCTGTTGTCTCCCGCCGCGAACAAAACTCTTTTGACCCTTCCTTCCGTCTTACACGTTTGGGCTGCCACTAGGATGTGGCCATGACCAACCGCTACCTCATACACCTTTGCGTCCTGACCATCTATCCGGACGTCCAAGCACTTGACAAACTCCTCTTGAACGTCATCAGTACTGATGCCCGTTACCAGTGCGCTCGTTTCAGGATTGCCATTCAGCACGTCCAATTCTTCATTTGACCCAGGACATGCCTGACCCCATAAGAAGAGTTCGCCGTCCGAGTCGAAGGCGGCGCTCATGTACCCGCCCGATGCCACCTTCGTGACGTAGGTCACCTCAAGGTAAGGCACGGGCGCAATGTCGAAAGCACCATCATACGGTCGGCCCAAGCACTTCTCATACCTCGGATCCCTTGTCTCCGTCCAAACGTGCCCATCGGCGTCTAGCGCAGTCATCGTCGTAGCATTTCCAACGCACAGCGGGAATTCGCCAAGTTCGTAAGGAAGGACCGTTGCTCCGGTCCCCTCACCCATCTCACCGGCCTCAAGATAACGCCGGAAAGCCGCAAAGTCTTTGACCCGCACCACCGACTCCACAGCCGCGGAACGATGCTCAACGTAAACCAGTACATGCCCCTCACTCCCGATCTTCACATCTCTCACGATCTCAACCTGATCGCTTACGGTGAAAGTTTGTATGTCTGGTACGCCAGTATCCTCGATCTCAACATCGGTACCAAACATGACGACCTTCTGATCCGGTCCTTTCCGGTCGATGTCCTCCCCACTCTTGACAGTCAACACATACCCCCTCAATCCATCGTGCATCGTGCTACCGAAGAAGATGATCTCGCTTCCATTATCGCGATTTGGACCGAGAGGAATCGCTTGTTTCAGATCGTTGTCGCTGGTCAAGTATTCTTTCTGGGCAGCCGTGAGGCCTGTGCCCATGTACCGAACGTGTGGTTCCCCAACACCATCACCACCACCACCATTCTTATTCCCCTCTCCATCTCTATTCCCATGATCGACTGGGTTGCTGCAAGCGACCACAGCGTCGCACCAACCCGCCCAAAGCACTCTGATGCTCTGTGCCTGCAAAATACACCCAGTGCTCCCCGCGCTAGTCCCAGGGCGAGCACCCTCGTGTTTCACACCAAAAGCGTACAGCCGCATAGTGCGATCCCGACTTGTCTTGTAGCGGACGAACAGCAAACAAGCGCAGAGAAAGCAAGCTGTTCGAAACAGAAAGTAGAAACGGATGAGGACGACAGAAGCAACGCGGCCGTTGGGATCTGTAACCAATGTTGTCGATCGTTTACGCCTCTTCCCGTGTCGATCTGCGGGCGGCGCGTGGGGTTGGGTTGGGGGGTGTGGGTGGAGGTGTTACCGTACCAAACATTTACCGTGTCGCGTAACGTGTTGTGACAGATCCATGGATGGGCTAGATGGGTCTTAGCGTCGACGCGACGCGACGCGCATTAGAAGATTCGAAGACGCAGGCTCGCAGGACGCGTTCGTCCATCCCTAGTGCAGGCGCGTACGCGTCCTTCCAAGCTTGCTGTTCTGCGGTCGACCCCGAGTTGCCCGCGGAAATCTTAACCTCTGAAGCTCCACACACGGTGCGCTTTGTCTGCAATGTCTGTGTTTCCCATGGTTAATCTTAATTAAAGTTGGATGTTTGGTAGACTTTCGCAAACAACTGTAACAGTGACAGCGCGGGAAGCGGGTTGCGGGAACCGTTTTCTTTACTTTGCGCTTTCGCTTCGCTTCGCATTGCCATTGCTATTGAGTTCGAAACATTGCCCGTTCCTCCATCATCGACGGGGCCCCTCAACTACATGTGGGATGACGTAGAACGGTGTGTGGGGAAATTGCGATGACACCTGCGGGTAGCAGAGCCTCAGGATAATGTCACTGCCTTGGGTGGCGAACTACTAATCAAGGACGTGGACATTGGAACGGAGACACAAGGGGAAGTTGGAAGGATTGAGTTAGGCGCCCTACTACCACGCCTGACGACAGCAGACAGCACAATGCCAACCATGTCAATCCATCACGCGCGTGCATCATCATGCAAGATACGCGAGCCGACATCCCAATCTCCTCAAATCCTTCGACCTATACCAACTGCGTCATCTGCCGCTTATTCTGGTGCTTTCCCCGCGCTTCCTTCCTTGGTTCCTTGATCTCGTTTATCACGGAAAGTGGCCTGTTCGCATTCCAAGGTTGACAGGAGGACACGAGACGAGACGAGAAAGGAAGGAGCGAACCGAGACCGACGAACCCCTCATCTCGCACCATGAATTCCAAAGTTAGACGAGCACCCAATGCCAGTTGGTCATGCCTAACCGCTGGAAGAAGGAAAATAGCGAGGACTTTGGGACGAGGCCGGCATAGGTGGACTGCCACCATGAGGCGAAGGTACCTGCATTGATTCCGCGTGTTAGCGCTTCGTTCCAAGTCGGATCAGTTTCTTCCCGTTCAATTCGCTTGACATTTCCGTGTCCTTTTCCTTCCAACCGCTTTTCTTTGGTCACGAAATATCCCAAAGTTGTTTTGCTTTTTGTCGAGTTCCACGGAACGTACTGTCGCATCTTCATCCCCGAATTCCCACGTAGCTGGAAACGAGAAACCACCTAGGTAACACTCATACTTTCATACTTTCACACTTTCACACTACACGTACCTTCAACCGGCCCCAGTTCCGCAAAACCAAGCGCTTCCAACACCCACGGCGCGACGATAGCGAGGACGCCCAGGGCAATGACGGTGCACATGACGGGGTGTTCGATGACGAAGCCCTCGATGCTTTGGGCAGCTTCCCACGCGGTGTCGCAGGCGGAGGAGATGGTGGGACCGAGGGCCTCGTGCGACGCGAGGAGAGCGGTGGTGAGTCGCGAGAGGATGTGTTGGGCGAGCGTGGTGCGCCAGCCGGAGGGGCCGACGAGGGCGTCTAGGTGCATGCGCAGGTGGGCGCCGGTGAGGCGGGTGGTGAGGAGTTTTTCGACGACGGAGTCTGCGATCTCGTCCGCGACCTCGTCTGCAGGGTGGGCGTCAGAGGCAGCGGCGGAGAGCAAGGCGACTTTCTCGTCGGGGTAAGTGGTGTGCTCCGGCTCCTCGGTGCCGCAGGGGAAGCAGGCGAGGATCGCTTGGAGACATGCCATCGCCATGTTGTCAGCTTCTTTGGTGGTAGTTGGTTGAAGATGGAGTGGTGGTGAGTGCGATGTTGATATGTGTTCAGGCTTAGCGCTTGTGGCACTGCTGCGCCGCAGGAGCGGTGACAGTGAGGGTGACACAGAGCAGCCTCGTCCAACCGTTTTTTAAACGCCACAAGTATGCGACGCAGAAGAGTATGGGGAGGTAGGCTGCACGGCTGCGGACAAGGCACACTCTCATCTGTTAACAAGCCTAAGGACCACGTAAATGCAGTACAGCAATCTTGCCAGATCTTGGTGAGCGCTTCTATCAGGTACTGCCTCTGAGTTGCAAGTCACATTTTGGAGCAGTACATCTCACGAGGATCATTGTCTACGGAATCCGTCGCGCGCTTATGCCCGTACAGTCTGGTGTAGTCTTGTTCTTTTCCAACAGGATCGAGACACAACAACACGTTTATGGCGATCGGTTGCTTGATGTAACACTGGCACGATTCGATGCCTCCAGGTAAAGGTGACGTTCGATGGGATCAAGTTCGCGTACACAGTTGCCATGTTTGTTCCGCTGGGCACTTGCCATGTCGTCTGATACTCTCTTACCGCAATTGGCACCGCTCAGCTGTTCTTACCTTTACTCCATCCTGCAGCACGCTAGAGCAATACAAAGTGAAGTGCAGCTTCTTGATCTTCTAAACATCCATCGTCTTCTCATCGTTCATTTCGAATCAGACGCTTTCATCATTCAGTAAGAGGTCGACTAACACTGACAACTGTCTTCCCCTCGATCGTTGCACGAGATGGGCGGCCATGCCTTCAAAGGACTGTATTGTCCCCGCATCTCCCCATCGGTCTACGAGAGGGTCAAAGCAGAGACGAAAGCCGCGCTGCAGACTGTCTTCGCGCAAGTTGTGGTACCGACTGAGATGCCCGGCAAGGTATGACTACACATCTACCACGCTGCTCACCTGCTGACACCCACAGGATGACTACGGCGACGTCGACTTCCTAGTCTGCTCCCTTCTCCACTCCAAAGGCACTACCACACTCGACACATTCCCCTGGCAAAGCACCGTCTCTCTCATCAAAGACGTCCTCGATACCACACATGGACGCCAAGGCTTTCTCACCAGAGACTGCATGTACTTCGCCATCGACTCGCCCCACGGCGAAGAGAACTACTTCATCCAGATCGATGTCAAAGTCTGCTTCAAGCCGGAGTTGTTTCACTGGTGTCACTTCGAGCTCAACTACGCAAGTAACAGCAAGATGATCGGCAGTATGGTCAAACCGCTGGGCCTCACCATGGATCCTGAGGGTATACATGTCCGTGTTGAAGAGATGGAAGAGACGAGTTTTCCTGGTAGCATGGTGTGGGTTAGCAAGGATCCGAAGGATGCGCTGCGGATTGTGGGTTTGGATTGGAGGATCTTGAATGGGGGGTTCAAGACTAAGGAGGAGAGTAAGTTGTTGATCTGCGCTGTGTTGTGACTTTTGCTGATGGTATCTTCAGTCTACAAGTACTTGGCTAGCTCCTGGCTCTTCCACCCAGGTCACTTCGCCGCACGACTAGCCGAGGAGAAGTACCACGATCGCCTCGAAGACCGCGCACCATACTGGACACATTTCATCAAAGAATGGGTTCCGCAGCATTACCCTGGCTACCGCCACATCCAGCAGACTACAGACCCCGAAGAGGCCAGTAGCAAAACCCACGAGCACGTCGAAGAAGACCTCTCAGTATGGCAAACCCGCACCAGATCAGCTGTCCGCAACAAAGTCTTCACCATGTTCCCCCACATCGCAACCGAATACTATACAAAGCGCGCCACATGGGTCAAAGAGCGCGAAGAGCAGAGACTGCGCGAGCTCATCACTCAAGCTATTCCAACTGGTAAGAATGGATGGAGAAGCGACGTACCCATTCCAACTATCGTTATCAAGCAGTCACAGCCCATGACACCCGACCTCGAACCTACAGCTACAGGCGAGATAACACCGCCGTTGACACCACCGCTCACACCCAGCTTATCCATCGACCACTCGCCGACTTCATCAAACCGCCCATTCCCACCTCCCCTCTCCCCATCCACCACCTCCTCCCCAACCCCACCCCTCTACCTCTACGTCGACGCCCTCCCTTACACACCACCCCTCCCATTCTCCGCCTCCCCACCTCCCCCCAACATGTCCCCTTCCGCCAAACTGCTCTGCCTCTTCCGCTGGACACACTTCTGCCCTTCCACCGGCACACCTTACCTCGCCACCGTGCCGCGCGACAAGGACTTCACGATGGCATGGACAGATGCGCAGTATGCTGGTGCAACGGATGGGGTGTTTGTAAGGTGGGCGGAGGAGACGTGGTGGAGTGTTTGGGTTAGGCAGTGCGTTGTGAATTATAGGGGGATGTGGAAGAGGAGGTTTGAGAAGAAGGAGAAGGCGGGGAGGATGGGGGGTGGGG